GATTTGACCAAAAGCTTATATCCGTTATCAAGACTGAAAACATTGATCGAATCTCGACAGACTTAAGGTCCAAAACATAACTATCATATCCGTATCAAAATACATCACCATCGAATAACAATTTCTAGTTTGTTCCATTTTTAGCCACCATCAAACATTTGTTTATACTTTCTGTTGCCGGGCAATTCATATCGGCGAAAAGCTTTTCGTGAAATCACTATTGACGTTTACTATAAATTATGCTGAATTGGAGCATTGACACAAAGTTGCTTCCTGCTGGGTTTGAGGATAACATTGTTACCATTTCATGGTTAGGTAATGATATTCATTCAGCAGTTAGAACATACTGCCTGGTAACATTTCAGAGGAATTACATCCGGATGAATTCCACCGCCACAATGGTCATTGGTCATTCACACGTACGTAATTCATCATGACAATACATTACATTTTAAGCGATAACAATACCAAATCAGTAATACAAATCAATAATGTATACGTGAGAACACTCTGACTCGTTTAACCGGATATAAATAAATATATTACAGTAAACTACGGTTAAAACGAACACGCTTATAACGAACTGACGGATATAACGAACTTATTTTTTGGTCCCGACTATTCGCTGTAATTATGTTGTATATATGTTTATAACGAACTACGGTTATAACGAACTAAAATTAGTAGTCCATTTGAGTTCGTTATAACCGTAGTTTACTGTAATTATAACTGTAGTAATTAATCTGTCAATATGTCAGTGATTGAGAGGTATTCTTGGGCTTGTTAAGTTTTTTTACTTTGTGGAAGAACAGAGCATTTTTAAATTTCGTGATGTTAGAATAATGTGCGTGTTTGTTGTCAATGAAAGAGGTTCTGTATTCATGGTTGCTGGTTATCTGTAGCCCATTTTCATAATGCATTGTTATGAATACCCAAATATTTATGGCTTTTACTAGTTTTAAATCGACATCTGTGCTAATCTAGTTATTTTACTTCCTTGTCGACAGTCTGTTGTAAAGTTTGAATTAATGTATTATTAATGTAAAACTTGATCTAGTCACGATATGGCTGAAATACTGCTGAGGTGACTATAAATCTTAACTCACTCACTCACGATCATTAAAATACTTCACATGTAATAGGTCATGACATTCGTCATTCATAGATGGCGATGTGCACTGATTCCGGTCAGTCCCTGCGTCTCTATGCCAAGCCAACAATGATAGTTACTAGTTCGAAATTTGAAATATTGTTGTAACTATGTTTAGGTAGTTGGAGGAATGTTTCAAATGTCGGCATATCTTTCAGGTATTTATAGTAATTTCCTCCGCCCTCCAATTTTGATAAAACTGATCTTTTCGGAGTATTTGGCTGCTCGTAGTCTGGACTTTTTTCCACCTTTGCTGGAGTATACAACCCCTTTATCCTCGGTCTTTGCAGCTTGGAGATCCGCTGCAGCATAAGACTGTCCTTGTTGACACTCCGTGATGGGTGGGGAATTATATTCCTATCGACATGGCTTTCCAACATCCTTGTTCACAAAGACGACACATCGAATCTAATGAAACTCCTATGCCCATTTGATCCGACTATTGGCAACGTTTCTTGGTAATCGAAGATTCAGACAAAGAACCAATCAAATTAAATCAATTTGCAATCTCCAAAGGTATCATTGGTATCTGCGGAGAGGTTACAAATGTCACAAAGCTTTGATCTGCCTCTCTCCTTGTAGAATGTGCACGGAGAAAACAATCTGTCAATCTACTCAAATTGAAAGAGTTTGTCAATATACTTCAATATCAAGGTTGTTGTCTCAGTGCACAAAACACTCAACAAGGGCATTATTCGTGACAGAGCTCGCTGCCTGTCAGGAATTACCGAAGATGGCATTGCCACGGAACTTGACCAACAGTCCGTCACAGCTGTGAGGTGAAATTGGGTTTAACGTCGCGTCCAAGATTATTGCACTTATATAGCGACGTGCATGCGTGGCTGCTTGTACTAGAACGGACTGATGCCGATTTATAGTGCTAGCCAACTGAGACACCATGCCGCAGTTTAACATGAATACTCCACTCAGACACAGTATACTGACTCCGAGCCGATCAGTCCTTGCTTTAACCCCTTAATGCCGAGCGCCAGACAGGGTAACAATAAGTACCATCTTTTAACGTCTTTTGGTATGACGCGGCCGGGGATCGAACCCAGGACCGTCCGCTCTCCGGGCGGACGCTCTACCACTAGACCACGGAGTCACTGTAAAGAGGGATGGTGAAGTCGAACCGACCAACACCTACCTCTTCACTTTTGCACGAAAGTCTTTCCCTCAATCGATCAAAGCTGGTTACTGTAACATCGGAGTGGAGATGTACATCCCCAATTCACTCCGGTGCTACACCTGCCAAGTGTTTGGACATGGATCCAAGTCCTGCCATGCCTCTGCTGTTTCTTTGTAGATAAGAAGAGGGTTGAAGGTTACACTGCAACCACTTCTTCTATCTCTTACTCTGCTGCTGAATCTTGTCCTCCTCTCACCACTGCCTCCATCGACTGTCAGATTGATCTAACATGGGTCAAGTCTGTACAGCCACTTCCAACTGCATCAGTCCAAAATCCTGCTGGGACACCTTCGTCTATGACTCCTCCAAAACCAAAAACTGTCGAAAATATTGAGTTTCAGATCCCAAAGCCAGTAACTGAGCCAGAACCAGAAATTGTTCATCTTACAAAAAGGGAAGGAAAATTATTGAAATTTAAAACAGCAAGAAGAATATTTGCAAAGACCCACATCAAAGGCCACCTCTCCTTTAGAGGTCCCCATAGAGGGCCAAAACTCCTTTGTCCTCTGGACAAGGAGGTAACTCCATCTCCACATGAAACCGATAGGAGTACTACAAAGTCTTCCTCACGTTCGCGTGACATTTCTCCCGTGGAAGCACCACCACCATGAATCCACAACATGTTATACAATGGAACGGCAGAGGTCTTAAGAAGAATTTTAATGAACTACAACTTTTAATCAAAGATTATAAACCACCAGCTGTCCGTCTCCAAGAAACGTATCTCAAAAACACAGATCTATTTGATATCCGTCAGTACTGTTCTTACCAGGGGCACGAGTGGCCCAGTCGTCTAAGGCGCCGCGAGTCGCTGAGCATATCTAGAGTTGCGTCCCTTGGGTACGCCAGAAACCTATGATTGTGGGTTCGAATCCCGGTTCGCCCCAGTTATGTTTCTAGGTTTGTCAGCACCATACCCGTGCTCGTGGGTTTCACCGAAGTGGTAAACGTCTGAGACCTGCATCACTTCGGGCTTTCCTCCCACATCAAGCTGACACGCCGTGATATAACTGGAATACTGTTAAAAGCGGCGTTAAACCCAAATCACTCACTGTTCTTACCACTCGTCCCCCTCCCCATTGGTGATAAAGCTACTGGAGGTTCTTCTGTCCTGGTGAAGCAGGGCATAATCCATAGCCCTGTTCCACTCAATACTACTCTACAGGCTGTTGCTGTCCTTGTTACTTTGCAAATAGTGCTTACATTTACATATACTTGGTTTACTTCATTAATTATGTATGAACTAGAGATGCAATGTCTGCAATGCGCGGAGCGTCAGCGGGCTATTGACATCCTGGAAACTGCCGGAAGTCAGCGTACAGTCGCCAATACGTTCAATGTTTCACAGTCCGTGATTAGCAGACTATGGAACGGGTACCAACAAACCCTAAATGTTGACGATCGACCCGGAAAAGGGCATCCCAGGTACAAGATCGATTGATCCGAAACAAGGCTCTACGAAATCGAGTTCAAAATCGCCTACGTACAGCTTATCCCTATGCTTATCCCTATGCTTGTCCCTATGCTTGTCCCTATGCTAATCCCTATGCTTGTCCCTATGCTTATCCCTATGCTTGTCCCTATGCTTGTCCCTATGCTTGTCCCTATGCATATCCCTATGCTTATCCCTATGCTTGTCCCTATGCTTATCCCTATGCTTGTCCCTATGGTTATCCCTATGCTTGTCCCTATGCTTGTCCCTATGCTTATCCCTATGCTTATCCCTATGCTTATCCCTATGCTTGTCCCTATGCTTGTCCCTATGCTTATCCCTATGCTTGTCCCTATGCTTATCCCTATGCTTATCCCTATGCTTGTCCCTATGCTTATCCCTATGCTTATCCCTATGCTTATCCCTATGCTTGTCCCTATGCTTATCCCTATGCTTATCCCTATGATTGTCCCTATGCTTATACCTATGCTTATCCCTATGCTTATCCCTATGATTGTCCCTATGCTTATCCCTATGCTTATCCCTATGATTGTCCCTATGCTTATCCCTATGCTTATCCCTATGCTTATCCCTATGATTGTCCCTATGCTTATCCCTATGCTTATCCCTATGCTTATCCCTATGATTGTCCCTATGCTTATCCCTGTGCTTGTCCCTATGCTTGTCCCTATGCTTATCACTATGCTTATCCCTATGCTTGTCGGCCACGTGCTGGGCCCGTCCTTACGTATCCTCATATTGCATGCATGCGTCAGTGGTGTACACAACCTCGAAACTGGGGAAAACGGTGTCTGGTCACGTGTCCTGTTTTCAAATGAGTCCCGTTCAAATTACACTTTATTGATAGGTGTGGTCCTGTCTGTCGACGTCGACATGAACGACAAGCCAATGTGAACACGAGACATGACAGATCCCAATTTCCCGGGGAAATTAAGGTACAGGTGTATAGATTGTCTAGCATTGCAAAAAGATGGATTGAATTTTAAAGGACCGTGTTGTTTCTCACAGAGAGAAAATTCAAATTTATAATTAGTCGATTATTCTTTTGTTATCACAACAATGATCACTATAATAAAAAATGAAAGAAAAAACAGAAACTAGCGAACTTTGAATATGCTCCCCGTTTTGTTAATATTGAGATAAGATAATCACTCTAATAAGTCTGCCGTAGAAAATAATGTGGAGAATCAATAAATTCGAAGCTTTACCTGTATTGATGTTTCAGTCCTATTGTAATGTCCAACGTGACCCAGGTGAGCTAGAACCAAATAAGGAAATATAACTGTATATTCATGTGTACGTGTCTCATGTCAAGACATTTTACAGATCCAACTTCACTTTTCAAAATTATGTCCCTAAAAGGATCCGGGGTTTGAATGGAGTCATATCTCCAATTCGCCCAGATTAGGATTCGCGGTCTGGGTTTCACTTAAGTCTTTTCAGCTTTCCTCGCGCATTATACTGTTATCACACTGAAGTAATTAAACTTAGTTCAAAGCTGTGTGAAACCTAACTCACTCATTCAACATTAGGCTGTCAAGGGGTGATGAATTTGTGTAGGAAGCAGCTAACGTGTAACTAAGAGGTATGGGTATGGTGCTGACGGAACATAATCGGGGCGTATTCGGGACTCGAACCAACGATCATAGGTTTCTGGCACGCCTAAGGGACGCAACTCGACAGAAAAAAATGGCAGCGTGTCGTGCGTGACCGACATATAATTCAATACTTGGAAATACTGTAAACCTGGAAATTAATACGACTGCTTGACCCTAGCCACAAATGCGACTCACCCAACCCCATCAGCGGTCAAATGATCCGTACCTTGATTCAACCGTAACTTAATCCAATCAAACAGCAAATATCACTGCTTGTTAGCAGTGAAAAGAGCACATCCGTAAAAACAATAAACAGTGTTTTCCTAAGCACAACACACAGTTTATATGTTTTCTCTGTTGACTGGCATTAAGGAAGTTCAAAGGCAATAAAATAATTGAACCAACAACAGTTCACTGATTGGTATGCGGAGAAGGTGTCAACAAGCTTGACACGAGTGGGTAGAACTCTTGACCACAGCAGTGATAACTCACCGGATGCCCATAGTGTAATTCCTATTGTTTGAATGACATTGTTATATACTTGTTACAACTGCTGCTGCATAAACCATGTTTGTGTTATTATTCAAGATGGTAATTCCACTATCCACAGTGTGCAGTTAGGCCGCCTTATCGTTAAGATAGACGCATTTTTATGGATAACAACTTCTTTAATACTGTGAAAAGCGACGTTTCGGTATAGATCCTTATACCGTTGTCAAGCAAGATTATTCACAGTATTAAAGAAGTGGTTATCCATAGAATTGTGTCTATCTTGTCATCCGTCAACTTCCAAGCAATGCCTATCAAACAAAACACGTCATTTTGGAGACATAAATGCGAAGTTAATAAATGCAACAAAGACCATTCTCATTTTTCTCATCTAATTCACGCTCGCGTTAATTTCAAGATTTACAGTATACTACTCAACGTTTGATAAGGATATCCTGAGTGCCCAGTTTGGGTTCTGAACAAGACCAATTGTTTGGACGTGTTGACATACAAATAGTATCTAATATTGCAGATTCATGCTTGGCTTCATGTCAAGTTAATTCAACCAAAGTCCATGATTCAATAACACTTTGGACCCGTGAAGATCCGGGGTAGAATAGGTCTTCAGCAACCCATGCTTGCCGTAAAAGGCGACTATATGCTTCTCGTGAACGGCGACTAACGGGATCGGGTGGTCAGGCTCGCTGACTTGGTTGATGCATGTCATAGATCCCAATTGCGTGGATCGATGCTCATGATATCAATCACTGGATTGTCTGGTCTAGACTTGATTATTTACAGACCGCCGTCATGTAGGTAGAATATTGCTGAGTGCGGCGTAAAACAACAAACCAACAACAATAACACTTTGTTCACTAGTTTTGTAACAGGATAAAAACATCACTCAATCTGGCTGTGCAGAAGCGCATTCTTATCTAAAATTGAGAACTTTAAAAAAAAAACATACGTGATACGTGATCTGGTGAATGTGGTCCTCCAGGAAAACAAACGCGTCCTTCCAGCCTGGCATCTAACTACCCGACTACATACACACGTTTGTATCACAACGCGGAAGCTTTCGACAAGGAAAAAGTGATCGCATGATAACAAAGGTGATACTAATGTGTCACGTTATATACTAGTGTACACCATTCACACCAAACACGCCCTCCGTTTTGTTATGCACGTTGTGCCCTCCATAAATAGCTATCAATATTTGCATGGGTCAGTATCTTGAGGAAACATCCAACTGTGACCACAAGCTGGAATTTACATAGAGTTTCAGGAAAGAAACACACCTGCACATTTGTTATATATGTACAACTGCTATTTACATGTATTTTCCGTGAGCAGACGCAATAATTATAATATTCTACCCAGAAGAATAAGGGAATTGATGAAATGATTGGACCCGTGAAGATCCGGGGTAGAATAGGTCTTCAGCAAACCATGCTTGTCGTAAAAGGCGGTATCGGGTGGTCAGGCTCGCTGACTTGGTTGATGCATGTCATCGATCCCAATTGCGTGGATCGATGTTCATGATGTAAATCACTGGATTGTGTGGTTCAGACTCCATTATTTACAGACCGCCGTCATATAGCTGGAATATTGTTCAGTGCGGCGTAAAACAACAAACCAAACCAAGATGAAATGATTATGAAGGTCTAATGACGATAAATGTCTCTAAAAATTATTCGGGCTTATAGATTGATATCTTGTGTGCCCACCATATGGGCGATGCATGCATTACACATTCAAGGCATAATGTTGATTAACTTGCGTATGTTGCCTTTGGTATTGCGGGCATTCCGCCTGAAGAGCTACCCTAAGGGTTACACACAACCAAATGTTTTCCCATAGACTTCTACAGTAAAGTTATATATTTTTTTTAATTAACCAAACATTCAACAGCTATTACCTGTACGTGTGTGCACAGTTTGGCCTTAGAGCAGCAATAAAAAACAAAAAAAATGACTAAGCTTAGCCAGCTCCTGTTCAGAGTACAGGAAGCTGAACACACCACGCCCAGTTTCGCACCAAATGTCACCTACTTGAAAATATCTGTGGTCACATTCAGCATAAGTCATCATGTTGAAAAAGACAGTACTAAATATAGTAAAACATGGTCAGTTTTAATAACTGGATGGATGTACATATAAAAGACATAAAACTGTTAAACAATATCCTCCAGTCACAGCCTGCAGCTATCTCTCGATCTGCACCGAAGGATCCCCACGAAAACCGCACTGTCCAAACTGGTTCTGATTTGGTGTAGTAGAACCTAAGATGAGCCGCGTTGGCGTACACTCTCCGCCCGAGAACATCCCACAGATGCTCTATTTGGGTACATGTCAGAGGACTTAGCGGTCCATTGCAATGTTCCTATGCCTTCTTGTCGAACGTAATCGGTAACGGCTTTGTCACGACGTGGTCTGGAATTGTCATCTTGCAGTTTATAATTTCAGCCGAAAATTCTAGTGAAGAGATCTAGGACTGGACGCGAAATTTCGTCCACATACCTCTGGCCAGTCAAATGTCCATTCACAATAACCAAATCAGTTTGCCTGGCATATGTGATACCGCCCACACCATGACGCTACCGCCCCGTACCGATCATTGTCAAGAATTGTTGCCGTGGCGTACCGCTCGCCGCTACTTCGCCACCAACGTTTTTCTGTCATCGGAGGCAAAACTTCGTCTGTAAACATAGTTAAACCCCATTTGTCCACAGCCCGCCCCTGGTGTTGCCTTGCCCACCCCAATCTTTGCCGCCTATACTGAATTGTAAGAGTCACACCCATCTCAGGACGCCTTGCTTTCAGGTGGGCGGCGAAGAGCCGGATTTTTACGGTAGATGTTGAAATTCGCCTTCCTGGTATTGTACGGAAAACTCTATTGTTAAGAGGAGTAAGTCTGAATCTACTGCGTTGTGCAACTAATGCAGTGAGACGATCAATTTAGGCTTGTCACGCCCCGATCTCATTTCAACCCCACCCATTTGACGGTACTTCTTCCACAGTCGAGAAATTAAACTTTTTTATTTGCCAAATATTCGGGCACCGCCTCCCCCACACCCCGGTCGTACCCACACTTTGCCATTTTGTCTGTTTATTGAGATTCGGTCTCGGAGGCATTTTAAGCATGTGATTTGGTCAGCAGCATTAGTGATTGTGACTGTTCATACGTGATGTGAAATTTCATTGTGATTAGATTTGTGTTCAGATGCGGCGCCACGGCGTCGTAGATGTACACCTCAACGATAGCTACATTCCAATTATAAGTTCCTATTTGTTTCTTTGGCAGTATAGTTCAGACAAATCATATGGCCGATCACATATTAAGAATTCGCATCAACTGAGCTATACAAATCTGAAAACAGGATTTCGGTATAATCTGCTTGTATTAGTCCGGACTTTCCATGCCTGTTTGATACAGTGCTAGACCACTGAGATACCATGCCGCAGTTTAACATGAACACCCCAATCAGACACAGTATACTGTCTCCGAGTCCTTGCGTCATCACCTTAATGACGAGCACCAGGCAGGGTAACAACAAGTGGTGAAAGCCTGTAAATAAACCGAACTTGTTTTGTTGAGGCACAGCTTTTTAATTTTTTGTTCGGTACTGTTTTAATTCGGACGGGAAACTCTATCATCCCAGTGAAAGATCGACGCTGCATTAGAACACACAACGAAATGTTAGTTGTATGATCAAGACTAATGTAAATAGTCATAAATTAATTAGAAGGTTGTACATGTAGTTCGCAGGACAGGGGTTGGGCATTTACCACGTCATACACCACGGGTAGATCGTGACAGGACGTCATACACCACGGGTAGATCGTGACAGGACGTCACACACCACGGTTAGATCGTGACAGGACGTCACACACCACGGGTAGATCGTGACGGGACGTCACACACCACGGGTAGATCGTGACAGGACGTCACACACCACGGGTAGATCATGATCGAACGTCATACACAACGGGTAGATCATGATGTGAAATCTTCAACAAGTGGAAGATCATGATCGGACGTCATACACCACGGGTGGGTCATGATCGGACATCATACACCACGGGTAGAGCGTGACAGGACGTCATACATCACCGGTAGATCGTGACAGGACGTCATACACCACGGGTAGATCGTGACAGGACGTCACACA